CTGACAAGATTTTCACAAACGCCGTAAGGACTTGACACGTCGGAAGTGATTCGTAGTTGTGGTAACCTCATGGTTCCACAAAGAATCCGCGCCGGATGCATTTTCCCAACCTTCAATTCTGCTGTATTGTTGAAGTTTAAAGAGTACGTAGTACTCATTGCCACCAGACTGGACCTTCACAGCGTGCGATGGTTTGCGCACCTCCGTGATCCAGTGAGCAAAACTTAGTGGTACTTTCTAAGTGAACTCAGGGCCACTCATTCAAGATAAGTCAACGATTAAGTGCCAAACCAATTTACTAGCAGCACCCCCCTTCGGAAGTCTCGCAGAGGTCGACGCCCCTACCCTAAAAATTTTAACCATGAGAGGCAAGTTAACTGAACTTGCTAGGCAGGTCCTCATCGGTTGCAACACTAGCAGATGGCAATAACTTCCGTTCTCTCCCAGGGATACTGTTATCAGGTGGTCAATTGCGTGATGCCCTCAGTGATATTCGGGTATCGCGCAGCAATGACGTCACCCCGACAGTTACCTCGGTTTAATAATACAAGGTGGCAAGTGTATCACTCTGGTGGGAACGTTACTGCACGATAATAGGAAGGTGTACAATCCGTGTGCTGCCTTTGACCGAGTTTTGTAAAAGCGCTTCCGCTAAATATCCCTCCATTTTCCTTTCTCGGAATTTCGGGTAGACATGCTAGGTCCTTGTTGGTCTTTACAAACCGAGGCAGGAGAGTTGATCACTAAGTTTAGTGGAGCGTCTTAATTAAAAGTCGTCAATAAAATTTCCTCCAGCATAAAAGTTCGTAGGAGACAAAATGTTCGCACTAACTATAAAGCCTCAATAACTGAGGGTGTCACGACATGCGCGACCCGGAAGGAAGACAAATCAGAGGTTGGAATTTTCACAGGATGTTTGAAGGAATGTATCATTCAGCGCTTCAGTTAGTGTACAAGCGAGAGGTAATCAATGAATGCACAAAACAACGATAAATGCGTGATAAGAGCCGACGTTTTCTATTCCAAACTCGGTTATATTAAAGGACCGAGCTCTAATGTTCGGTGTATGCCCAGAAAAGATAACAAACGGAACCGCTAAATTTTCAGAATGCATTTTTTGCTACACACCTGCCAACTGAGTTAACAATTTATAACGTTTACTTGCGAAACCGTTCAGCAATCATTCAGTTACCACTATACAAAGTGGCAAAATTATGAAAAAACCAATGAAAAAATGCGTTAACGCAGTTTTGCTCAAGGTCGCTACGAATGAGGGCCAGGCGACAGACACAGACGGATAAAAATATATCTGATGTAATTGGAACTAAAGTTGGTGATGTTGTTTTTAATATGCCAGTCAATGACAATATTCACTATACTAAGTTAAAACTTCTGTCCAAAATCTAAAGATATATGAGGATCCTGGTGATGTAATCGTGGCCCGATCGGTCGGTCGCTTGCCTTACTTCATACATGTAGGTAAGATGTTTAGGTATCTCGCCACTAATGGTCCTAAAATAAGAGAACATCCAGATATCATCATCAGCCTCAATACACGTTGGCCAAGGGTGAGAAATATACCTCAGTAAATGTGCCGCAATACAAAAAGGTAAAACATTAAGCAATGTAGACTTAAAAGCTATAAAAAGTAAAATAGTGTTAACAGCACATTTGTGATTGCTATTGGCGGGAGGAAGCTAAAATGAAGGGACGGAATAAAGCGATTCACAACACAAACACTACTGAAGTCGACGCTCCGTCAGGTAGACTAGTGTGCCTAACCAAACTAATTCATCATCCTTCGGTCCCAAGCCAGGCAGTCAGGAGACACCAACCGAAGCCAAGTTCATTTCTCTTACCTAGTCAGCAGCTGGACTTTCCTCCACCGTTTTGATCCACAACCCTATCGCGCAAATAACGCAAGTCGCGGGAGTTGGTAGGCTAGCATGAGCAACACGTGGCCCAATCATCGGAGCCTGGTGAATGAAATAAGGGTGCTGTGCGGTTCACTCGCTATTCCTGCATCAAATACGTGGCATCGAACACACTCAGTGCTCATGTGATGTTCCCACCAGCCATACATATTGGGATGGAGGTGCTAGAAATGGTTTAAATTTGTCGCGCATACACTCAAAGTCAATTAGTCAGCAACGCTTCAACACCGCAAACAACCAACTCAGATAGTAGTCGTGTGGAGAGCGCTATTAGTTAGACAGTCTCCATACGGCTTTCATCGTTATATAAAACGGAAAATCATCCTGCCCGTCGACAAATATACACACTTATTTATTTCAGAATCTGCCGAACAAAAATGTGATAAAAGCTTAGGAAGCCCAACTACCTTTTACGCTCTTCAAAACGGCGCTTAAAAAGGACGTAGTTAAATTTTTGCTGGTTCGAAAATCCAGTTCTTCTAATTGAATTCTGAATACTGCATTACAGAGCAAGTAGAAATGAATTCTGTACAACACTCGAAATATGGTGAAAAACCTTATAAAATTTGTCAGCCGTAAATATCGTTGTCGTCCTCATGTAACATTTGAAATATCTGACTCACGAGATTGCAGGACTCACAAATGTGATAGGCCATCGTAAGTGTGCAATCGCTCTCTGAATCGAACAGTGGTAAAATATAAATCTAACAACGTTTTGAACTGCTACGCAGATGTTGCCTCCATCACACGTCCAGGTAAACTGTTCCAATTATTTAACACTCTCCGTTCGAAGCACAGTGGGTGGGAAACACGTTTCATATTCGGCACGACAAGTTTGTATCTGTGTCCGCGTGTGCTGCATGGACCTCGTAAGTACAGCACTGGCATTAGCATTGGGAAGTAACCGAGATGTAAAATCCCGTAGGTCATAATGAGGTCGACTGGCACCCGACGGTAAGACAAGGTGTAGAGTCCTAGTTGCTCCCACCAGTCCACATAAACCAAGACACGTAAACTAGGGATGAGCCTGAAAGCAACAAGCTGGACCCGTTCGACCTTGATTTTTTCACCTCATAAGAGGTAATCTATGATTTAGTCACTCGCGGTAGTTCGTTTATTGAGGTTTAGTAATGAGAAAATGGGTAGATGCAAGTGTCCATTACAATACGGATCATGGGTCACAATTACGTAGTAGTTGAAAGGAAGTATAATTTCAAGTGGGCCTAGGACGCTAGGAATATCCCGCGCGTGTTCTTGCTTCAGCGGGTCCTTGACACAGAAATTGTGGAAATGCCCTGACATGTGGATGAAGGTAGGAAAACCGCATCATATCCTGGTCAACCAATTACTGCTGCGTATCCTGCATCAAGAGAGCCTACTTGGTCAACCACGTGAAGTAAGAAAGATCAAAGACAAGAACAGTAACGTAACTTAATAAGTATATGCCCAAGGTAAAAAAATAAGCACAAGGTTTGTGAAGGCTTGCAAGGTGATGAAAATTGAAAGCTGATGACAAGAGTCAGTTAAAAGAATGGAAACGTTTGACATTGCCAAGGGCATCGATCTGATGCTCCAAACCCTATGTTCCCTACCCACATGATCTGCAGACGACAGACGAATTTCAGTCCTAATGCGATCAGCGCGCAGTTTGTGCACCTTCAATGGGTGATGGCAAATACAAGGACAACTAAGCGGGACTAAACAGCCAAGACCAACTCGAGCCGATCTAATTAGTTAAAATACGGTAATTGAGGATCCAGTCCTCTCAAACCCTCCGCTAGCACATTGCATATTCCCAAACTAAGCAAACGTCTAGAATACGTCGGTCACTTTATTGTCGGCGCGAACTCAGTAGCCACTCGTAAAACCTTCTCCAAGCATTCTCTTTCGGACAAAACATGGTGGGCAAGCCTGGACACAATATTCCAAATAAGAAATCCGAGCACAGCTGCACAAGCATACGACCAATGAGTCACCAAAGAGAAAGAAAAGGGCATCAGCAGTAGGCCGACACACAATAACGACGCTTCGCAGCCGCGCAACCACCACCGGTTGCACGTAGGCTAAGGATACGGCGACGGTCACCTTGCCACTACTCAGGCTCGAACCCACGCCATCAGATTACAAGTCAAACTCGTTACTAGGCTACGGACCGGCGGGTCATCGAAGAGGTGGCGAATAAACCATATCACATAGAACCTCATGTACGCGACCCTTATTGTTGCTAGCGTGAAGCGATGACGAATGGAGGACTATTAAAACAACAGAAGGTAGAAATAACGGCGAATAAAAGTTGTCCACTTGGGGTGAACATAAAGTCTCATATGTTTGCTTGTTAATACTGGTGGATTAGTTACAGTCAGCAAAAAAGCTACAAAAAGTATGGAATAGTAACTAAATAATAATATGTAGAGGAAAGGGGTAAAAAGTGAATAGCCAAACTTTGGTTAGGAAGCATGATGGTGGTGAATGTTTCTCTACCGAATAGGAGAAAATAAGAAATTTGTAAACGCCTTTATTTTATCATTGTCTTAGTCTGATTAGCAAATCATACAGTACTTCGGATTACGCCACTGGTGTTTTTAACCTTAAGGCAAGCACAGCATTTTGAACCCAAGTTCGGCCGGTGGCCGAGTGGTCTGCACGCCTGGATTTCAATCATAAGGTCGCCGGTTTGGATCTGAGTAGGAGCGGGCGTCATTGCGTTATACAGCAAATGCGAGACTGGTGGTTGTCGCGCAGCAGTGAAGCGCTGTCACGGAGTACAATTGACACATTATTGTTACATTACTTTTTGAACACAAGATGCGACAATAGCAAGTGTATGTTTAAAGCCCCAATCTGTCAGGCTGGAACAGCATCTAACCGTCTCTACATGGACAAGAAGGTTTTTATTCATAACAATTAAACTGTAAAAGTAGGATGAAGAGCGGAATTAGGTAATAGGGTTCTAGGTAAAAATAAGTGGAAGAAGAATCATGTGGTGAGAATAGGGAGAGGGATTAACAGGATAAAACACTGCTAGAAAATCAAGCGAGTGTCGCATGGATTTGTCTAATCACTCACTAGCAACTGGTGCACTTGAAACATTCCCGATGAAAGGAATGATTGGATACCGTAACAATTTCACCGACAAGTTCACGGGCACAGACCCTGCATTTTTCCACAAAATATCGCTGATAGTCGTCTTGACAATAAAAGCTGTCTTCATTGATGAAGAATCCACCGGTCTGAAGGCTTTTATTACATTCTGCAATACGAATTTTTACAAAACTTCGCACTTGAACAGGTGAAGCACCCTTTGTGGAAATATTTATCGGCGACCCTAAGGACTTCGCCCCGACACTTCTTCTTACATTTCTCACAAAATATTTTCGCTGAATTTAGTTAACAGATCATTAGATGGCTCAGACCTACCCATTTTCAGACAATAATGCTAAGCCGCGAGGAAAGAGCGGCGGAAATCGGAAACATCTCATCGATGTTGGTGGACAGACAGGTGAAGGTAGACTGCGATTATTATTTCTGTTGGCAATTAGGTGTAAACTTAATGATGTATTCATTTGCGTATAAATATATAAAAATACATATATATTCGTAGACTTGTTTTCATAGCCATACGTTGTTATTCAATTTATTTTGATATATATGTTTTTATTGATCTAATCAACAGGACAATCAGTCTGCTCTCCAATATACACAGGCATTCATGTGCTTTGAGATCCTTATATTTAATAATGCCTAAGACGGACGAAATTCTTCAGTGGAAAAGATTTTCTCTATAAATACTAACCAAGCAACGCATTAGATTTTCTGCGCTTTTTTGTTTATATTAAATTTTGGAGCGTTTCCTTTGTAGCCATATTGATTTTTTAGGATGTAATTTGTTAACCTTTTTTCTACTCGAATAATTTAATATTTGGCCTATTGCAAGTCGTAACTTTTTTCGACTTCGCGGTTCCGAACTCTAACTCTATCCCAGATTGCAAATCACTGGCACTCGAAATTGCGCCACTAATAGTGTGCAATCAAGCCTGCGCGATCATCACAATCAAACGACGGTACGTCTCTTAACGTCCCTTACTAATGTATACATATGCGACGTCATGGAAATGTTGGGTCACCCTGATAATAGGCTTATTTGGTTACATAACCTTGAACGATGGACTAACAATTAGCAAGAAGTGCACAGATAATTTGTTCAAAATTTCCCTTTGTAAGCTGCTTGACGCAAGTAGATTGCGTACCTCCGACGGTGACACTCTTAAACACTAATTGCTGTCCTCTGTAAAGTTCGTAGTTGGCATGATAGTAGATGAGCCGGGCTATGGCTCTGGAGACTGTCGATCATGCAGGTCCGCGGCTGATACCCATAAGCTCGGGGCAGTAGCTGCTAGCATCCGGAAGTCATGGCGGAGGAACCTGGCAAGGGTCCACTGGAAGGCGCAACACGGACGAGTTCTGGAAGGCGGATACACCGGTTTTCGCTACTTTTCCATACCAGCTTGTCTGCTGACTGAGTGTAAACCGTGATGGGCGGCCTCCACTCATTGAAAATCTCCACCACACATTCTTACTATGAAATCTGACCATATAGCTTATAGGGCCATGTGTTGTACCAGGGGCTTCGTCAAAATTCCTAGGTCGTGTGGCTGGCTGCTGCTTTTCTTTACAGTTTGTTACTGGCATGGCGGTAGTAGATGATCCAGGCTAGAGCACAGCTTACTTTAAATATTGCAGCTGCGCGGCTGTCTCGCATAGGCTTAGGGGCACTAGCTGTTGGTATCCGGAAATCATAGGGGAATTTGGAAGGGGTCCGCTGGATAACGCATCATTGAGGAGACTTAGAAAGTCGAAAAATCGGTGTCTGGCGCTTTTCCAGACTAGCCTAAACTTGCTGACTGAGAGTAGACAGTGAAGAACTATCTCTAACCTTTCCAAAACTTTCATCGAAGTTCTGAAACACTTGAAGCAGGTCGGGTTAGGCAAACTAACTCGGATCAGTTGCGACAAATGAGCACAACATGAAACATACAATCACCCGCATGCTTGCCTCAACTGTAGCGCAATGCACGGTTCACCACAGGAAACGAGCGAGGAGCGTGACAACATCTACTTGGGGAATCGAAAACAGAAGTGAAAGCGATCTTTATGGATGAGCTAAACTAGTGAACGCATCAGCATAGAAGTTCTAACAATGTGTTTGTTGCGTCTTTAGACGTCCATTGCTTCCTGTGAAACTGTATACAAGTGTGGAAAACGGAAAGTTTGTAGTCAGTCTTTAAACGGCCCACAACAGTTCCGCTTTTATTACTGGGTTTGAGAGTGAGTTTCCCACAAAATTTCCTAGTTTTCAACAAAGGTTTTAATGAATGGCATTCTAGATCTTTTAACGTCGTAAGCCCCTCTGTGACCAAGCAAACGTCATACTACCGCAGCAGCTGGCTCTGATGCTCACTGCTTTTTGACATAATCAGCTAAGTTCCACATATTGCAGTCTCCTATCTGGATTTGGGCTATTTCAATGTTGATTTTCTATGTAGTTAATTATTGCAGGCACTTACCGATTTGAGTGTGCCCTGGTAGACGTGACCAGAGTTGCTCATGGCATTGACAATTACGTTAGGCCTCATCATGACAACCATTCTGGAAGGACGCATTCAGGGCAAAAATACTTGTGTGTGAGTTAGAGGTTGCGTCTTTCGTTGGATTTTTGGCGATCCATGGAATCCTATGAGTCATTCAATGGTTTTAGATTAGCCTCACGCATCTATGCTTTACGGATATTTGCAAATTGTGGTCGGTGTTAAGAACTCAAGATTCGAACATGTATGCCTATGTGTGGACTAATGTACCAGTGACCATAAGACCGTCGACGTCTGTCGCTTACTTTCACTCTATGCTACATGGCGGTTTCAACGTTTTCACCATAACCTAACTACTAACTACCAACACACATGAGACGAGCAACGGGAGCAAGGTCCCCACCACCTCTAGACTACGTTGGACGAAGTTCTTTTCCACTCATCCATCTTAACCGCAAATGTCATCCCTTTAGGCATGATATGAGGTTACAACTGATAAGTTAAAGGCGCTTACAAAATTCTTATTATCTCCCATTCGGTAGAGAAACATTCACCACCATCATGCTTCCTAACCAAGGTTTGGCTATTCACTTTTTACCCCTTTCCTCTACATATTATTGTTTAGTTACTATTCCATACTTTTTGTAGCTTTTTTGCTGACTGTAACTAAACCAACAGTATTAACAAGCAAACATATGAGACTTTATGTTCACCCCAAGTGGACAACTTTTATTCGCCGTTATTTCTACCTTCTGTTGTTTTAATAGTCCTCCATTCGTCATCGCTCCACGCTAGCAACAATAAGGGTCGCGTACATGAGGTTCTATGTGATATGGTTTATTCGCCACCTCTTCGATGACCCGCCGGTCCGTAGCCTAGTAACGAGTTTGACTTGTAATCTGATGGCGTGGGTTCGAGCCTGAGTAGTGGCAAGGTGACCGTCGCCGTATCCTTAGCCTACGTGCAACCGGTGGTGGTTGCGCGGCTGCGAAGCGTCGTTATTGTGTGTCGGCCTACTGCTGATGCCCTTTTCTTTCTCTTTGGTGACTCATTGGTCGTATGCTTGTGCAGCTGTGCTCGGATTTCTTATTTGGGATATTGTGTCCAGGCTTGCCCACCATGTTTTGTCCGAAAGAGAATACTTGGAGAAGGTTTTACGAGTGGCTACTGAGTTCGCGCTGACAATAAAGTGACCGACGTATTCTAGACGTTTGCTTAGTTTGGGAATATGCAATGTGCTAGCGGAGGGTTTGAGAGGACTGGATCCTCAATTACCGTATTTTAACTAATTAGATCGGCTCGAGTTGGTCTTGGCTGTTTAGTCCCGCTTAGTTGTCCTTGTATTTGCCATCACTCATTGAAGGTGCACAAACTGCGCGCTGATCGCATTAGGACTGAAATTCGTCTGTCGTCTGCAGATCATGTGGGTAGGGAACATAGGGTTTGGAGCATCAGATCGATGCCCTTGGCAATGTCAAACGTTTCCATTCTTTTAACTGACTCTTGTCATCAGCTTTCAATTTTCATCACCTTGCAAGCCTTCACAAACCTTGTGCTTATTTTTTTACCTTGAGCATATACTTATTAAGTTACGTTACTGTTCTTGTCTTTGATCTTTCTTACTTCACGTGGTTGACCAAGTAGGCTCTCTTGATGCAGGATACGCAGCAGTAATTGGTTGACCAGGATATGATGCGGTTTTCCTACCTTCATCCACATGTCAGGGCATTTCCACAATTTCTGTGTCAACGACCCGCTGAAGCAAGAACACGCGCGGGATATTCCTAGCGTCCTAGGCCCACTTGAAATTATACTTCCTTTCAACTACTACGTAATTGTGACCCATGATCCGTATTGTAATGGACACTTGCATCTACCCATTTTCTCATTACTAAACCTCAATAAACGAACTACAGCGTTTTACTCTAGCATATATTACCTTTGATTAAGTGTAGCAAATGCAATGTATTTATTTAGGAAGACTGGATTTCCGGACTTGCAAATATTTATCTGCCTCACCCATTTTCGCCTTTTTAATGAGGTTAAAATGTGGTTGCGGAATTTTTTCGGCAGCACCTGTAATAAAGTGGTGTGTATTTTGCCGACGGTGGCGATGATTTTCCGTTTCATGGAAAGATGATACGTACTTCAGAGGTGATCAATACTTCATTTTTGGACTTTGGGTTCATTATGGGTTAGCAGTGCAATGGCTTTTTGTACATGTGATGCGTGCCAGATGGCGAGGTGGCTTCGCTTAATCATCTGCGTTGTAAGGCTTATTCTGAAGAAAGCGGATGAAAGCCGGACGGAGACCGTCTAAATAATAGCACTCTCCACACGACTACTAGCTGAGTTGGTTGTTTGCGGCGTTGAAGCGTTGCTGACTAATTGACTTTGAGTGTATGCGCGACAAATTTAAACAATTTCTAGCACCACTGTTCTAATCTGTATGGCTGGTGGGAGCATAACATTGGCACTGAGCTTTTTCGACGCTGTGTATTTGGTTGCGGAATAGAGAATGAACGGCACAGAGCCATTATTTCACTCACCAGTCTCCGATGATTGGGCCACGTGTTGCGCATTCCAGCTCAACAACTCCTGCGACGTGCTTTATATTCGCGCCCGGCTTGCGGATGTAAACGGTGGAGGAAAGTCCAGCTGCTGACTAGGTAAGAGAAATGAACTTGGCTTCGGTTGGTATCTCCTGTTTTCCTGGCTTGGGACCGAAGGATGATGAATTAGTTTGGTTAGGCACACTAGTCTACCTGGCGGAGCGTCGACTTCAGTAGTGTTTGTGTTGTGAATCGCTTTATTCCGTCTCTTCCTTTTAGCTTCCTCCCGCCAATAGCAATCACAAATGTGCTGTTAACACTATTTTACTTTTTATAGCTTTTAAGTCTACATTGTTTAATGTTTTACCTTTTTGTATTGCGGCACATTTACTGAGGTATATTTCTCACC